CACAAATATATAAAAAAATAAATAAGCATAAAAAATTACAAATAATGTAAAACAACATTCAATTAATTAAAGATTAAAATAATGGAAGTGGTATGGACATGTGTTTGGTCTAATGAGGACACGTTGGCTTGATCATAAATAGTATCACACCCTAACCTTTTATTGAATTAATTATGAGAGTCAGCATGTTAGAATAAACAAGTTCTAAAGAAGATTTTAATATTACGGATGAGGATGCATGAATGAAAACCTATGGATTTTGTTTCCGATTGATTGGAGGATGAATGAAGTGGAGTCTGGAAATTGCATGAGGAGTCACCATGTGCCAATAAATTTGGTGAATGATTGAGTGAAGGATGTTCTAGATGATCACCATACATATGTCACCACTCCAAGAGTTGAAAGATGGGTTGACTATAGCCCTAATATCAATTATGCTTGATATTTGTAGGAAAGTGGTGAGTGAGACATTGAAACCTAAAATAAATTCAGGAAATTGTTTATTTAAATGAAAGAGTTATATCATTTTTTTTATAGAGTGTAATTTTTTATTTATAAAAAATAATAATAAATATTTTTTTATTAACTTAAAGCTTGAATTTTAATAATATTATTTTTAAGTTAGGATTGCTTTATTTGAAGTTTTGCATCCATATAACTTAATAAGGATTAGAGTTTTTGTTTATGAAAAATATTGGTTTAAGTAGTATTGAACTTGATCTTATTAAATAAAATTTTGACTTAAAATTTATATATGTAAGAAGAAAAAAGAATATAATTGAGAGGAGAGATCTTATTAAATATGGTTAATAGTTATGTTCTCTAATGGTTCAACTATGATTCACCAAATTGATTTAGTAACTCATAGTTTGACCAAGTTGATGACCAATCCAGTAATGATAATATTACTTTATTGTAAAATTTATATTATAAAGTATTATTAGAGTTTATTATAGACTAAATTACACTTTTAATCTTTAATTTTGTTTTTAAAATTTATTTTGATCATTTATCCTTTAAAATGTTTATTTTGATGATTTATCTATTACATTTAGATTGATTTGGTTCTTTTGAAATAATGAATTTTTTCAATTTTGAGACACAATTTTGAATTATTTATTAATTGATTTAAGACTTGAAATTTGTCTTATTAGATTCACCTATATAAAAAAATATTGAATGCAATTGAAGTTAAAATTAAAAAGTGTTACAAAATATTGAAACGAATAAAAATAAGTTTTAGAAAAGCAACATAAAAATAAGTTTAAAAAAGTAATAAAAAGTTTTTTAAAAAAAATTTAATTTTATATTATATTTTAATTGTTCATAGTGTATATTTTTACATGATTTTTACTATATTTATAATCTTTAGATCAAATGTTAATTAAATTTCATAGTTTTCATGTAGATAAATCTAATGTTATAAGTTTCATTTTTTGAATTAATCAAAAATTGATTAAATATTATGTCACAAAAATAAAAATAATCATTATTTTGAAAGAAATAAACTAATTTATTTATAAACAACTTAAGAACTAAAATGATAATTCTAATAAATAACAGGCTGAAATAAACCTTAAAAAAAATTAAAAGTATAATTTATCTTTTACTATATTTACTTTATTAAAAAAAACACTAAAAATTTTAAATTCAAATATATATATAGTAAAACAGAAATTTAAAATTCATTAATAGTGATAAAATCTCTTCATGTTCAATATATTAAAAATATCGCAAATATATTTTTAGATTTTTTTTTATTTTTCGATACAGTCAAACATAAATTCAGACGATAAATTTTAGAAAAGGTTTAAAATTACTAAATTTTAAATTCATAAAAATTAATTTTATAACTACTTGAATCAAGAATAAAAAAAATTAAGTAACCTTTCAGAAAATATATTTTATAATTAGAAAACAGAAATGACAATTATTTATATATCATAAATGTTGATTATAGAAAATATATTATAATTAATGTTTATTGATTATTTCATGACATTATTTATATGATATTTTATTTATTGTATCATTAATGATAGATTAAATTGAAAAATAACTATAATTCATAATTGAATTAATATTTACGAAGCAAATATATATTGAAAAATCATGTCTAAATTTATGTAAATTTGACACATGTTATGTAAATTTATTTATAAATTTGTAAATGTATTTATACATTATTTATATATAATATGGTATGATTGAATTCTAGAATTTAAAATTTAAAGTTGTGGAAGAAAAGAAAATAAAGTTGTACGTGTGTGGAAACAGTTGAATTGGATTGCACCACTTTCTGAAATGGAAGGGAAATCATATGCCAACTGAAAGATACAACTACAAGGGTCACTAAAATTGGAGAAGCAAGAGTGACAAAGAAGAACGGTGAAAGATAAAAAGGGATAATTTATTAGTTTTTAGTAATTTAATCAAAACTATTACTATTCAAACTCTTATGATAAATATGAAATAAATTATATTAGAAAAGAAATATTTATTTTATGTATATTTTTTTTTATGAAGATTAGTTATTGATGATGAATATTTCTTTTTAATATCATTGTTATTAAAAATAATTTCTAATTTTGTTGTTTAGGGGTAGTTTAGGGTTTTCAATGTAATTATAAAAATATTTGAATAGTGAAAAGGCTCGTGATATATATACTTTATTTTTTTAATAAGTACCCTCCTTTATTTCTTTTTAAAATAAAATATTTTTAGTTTTTTTTAAATTTTTCTAATTTTACACCTTTAACTTTCAATTTGTTACTTTTTTCTTCTTTTTCACACACCTTTTTTTCCTCTTTCAGTTTTCACCTACATCATCTCGTCTTCTTTCAATTTCTCACCTAGGTAGTTTTAACTTTCTCGATTTTTACATTATTCTGTTCTTTCCTCACCTTTTTTACTTTATCATATGTATCCAGACCGTATAAATGGTACATGACAATATTGTAGTAAAAGCGGGGAAAGAGGAGATAATAGTAAGGAAATTGAAAGAGGAGAGAGAAAGAGAGTAATATAAAACTAAAAAAAAATAAAATTACCTATCAAAATAGGTGGGGTGAAGGAAAGGTAAGGGGGTGCATGTGAAAATTGAAAAAATAAGAGAAAATGTGAAAAAAAAAGTACTAAATTAAATATTGTAGATGTAAAATTTAAAAATTAAAAATTAAAAATTAAGAATATTTTAAAATTTTAATTATTTTTTTAAAAAAAAGGAGGTGTACTTATATATATATATATATAAAATAAAAAAAATAAATAAATAAAAAGTGTATATATCATGAACCTAGTGAAAATGGTATGAATTTGTAACCTCGTCCTTTGAACCAACTGGTCCATTTAAACCTCAGAGCCCAAATAAAAAAAAAGTCCAAACAAAGAAACATTCTGATAAAGTCCTAATTGACCATGCAAACAAAATGTGTCAAAAAGACAAACAAAAAAAAATTCATACAAGATAATAGTATGCTCTTATTTATTAAATTGGGGTACATAATATTTTAACACTCTTTTCCTAAACTAATATCATAGACATGAATATGGGAAAATTGTTATTCTTTGCTCACTTTTTTTTTTCACTCTTTTTTATATTACAGAAAAAATTAAGAATAACGAGTCCATATAAAAAAAAACTTGAAATAATGATATGCACATTGTAATGAATAATATTGATTAATTTGTTAAACATTCAAAAAGAGAGGGATTCGAATTAACGAGTGTCATTTTTTTTAATCTAACAATTATAACTATGACTTTTTTTCTTCTTTGCACATTTAATATTTTTTTGCGTTGATTTATAAATATAACTAGTATTTTAATTTATGTAATCCACATATTTAATATTTATTATATTTATCTAAAATTTATAATAAATTATATATAAATAAATATTATATTGAATGTATAAATTATTTTTAAAATTTGTATAAATAGATTCTCTTAAACATATAAATTGTACTTTAAATTTATGATAAATAATTTATATTGTAGTATAATATTTTTTTATTTATTGATAATTTATTTTAAAAATACTAAAATTTAATTTATAAATAATTATGATAAATAAAAAATTGAATTAGATAAGAAGTTAAAAAAGTTAAAAACCCTCTCATAAAAAAATTCTAAAAATATTCTCACAGAATCTAGAAATTCGTATTTAATATATAAAAGTTGATATCTTCAATCTTAAATATCTTTTTTTTTTATGTAAATTTATTAATTTTATACGAATATAGAAGAAAAGAAATGTTAGTTTAAATAATATTCACTAAATACAATAATTTTTTTTAGCTTGAACAACATAGAGCGTGTTTGAAAAATCATTTTTTTTAACGAAAACGTAAAAACACACTTTTCAAAGCATCAAAATACAAAGCAACTATTTCTATCTTTTCCGTTCAACGTACGTTTGTGAAATTTTAACAATAAAACAAACACGCTGATAATATATCATATACAACGTATATTTTAATTGATATTTCAAGAATTTATTTTATAAAATTAATTTAGTTCCTTGTCAAAATTGATAGTCTTTTGGGACTCAAATATTAAAAATAAAAAAGTCACATAATTGGTGGATTCAAATACAAGTTAACCTTAATTAATATATCTATCCACGGGTCAAAGGTGGTCCTTATTTTGTTTTTCTTTTTTTTGATTAAAAAAGATGGTCCTTATTTTGTTTTAGAATTAGAGATTAGAAAATCAAGTAACATATGTAACATAAGAGCCAAATTTCTTGGAAATAACGCGTTAGTAGCATTGTGTGGTGGAAACAGTTATCCTTCCGTGTATCCTTCATTTCATAATTTGACATGTCCACGTTACATATTTCATATTTCTCATTCATTTGTAAAATTTTATACTTTTGACCAATCATTGCAACCCACATCATTATCCTTTTCTGAATCTTGGTCTTCTTCCACTTTCATCCACGTGATTTAAATGGAGAACGTTTACCTTATTCCAATCAATCCTCATAGCAACAAACAAAACACAAATGATAAAAGATACATCTAAACCAAAAAGTTCAGCTCATAAATACCCACGTGACCAATATCATGCATACATAAATTAAATGCAAGAGTTCATTTTTGGTCCAATGTATCCTAGTATAACATGGTGATGGAGAATTGGAGAAGATGGTTTTGGGGGCACACCGACAAGTACGTTGTTAAGGTTAGCCAATTGAGGTTGCAATTTGGAGAAGCAAATGTGGGTGTTGATGCAAATGATGAAATAGCCATTCAGATTATGGGAATAGCTATGAAGAAACAAAAAGCTTCATCTTCTTATTCTTATTCTTCAACTTCTAAAACCTCTCTTCCTTTTCATGCTACCCAGAAACTAGGATCCACTCACACTCACACCACTTTCCCCCAAAGATTCCTCAATTCTATGACTCCAACCCTCGTCTGGGACGCACGTGACCTCCACGACTTTAATCTCATCCTCAAACACGTGTCGGAAATTGGCACGTGCCACATGACATTTCATGTCTTATATGTAAGTAAGAATATATTACCTTTAATCTTAGATGCAAGTAATAGATTATTTTTTTAATTCTAAGTAATAATCGTTAATTTTTTAAGTTATTTAAAATTAAATTTCCTTTATACTCTTTATTTATCATTATATATTCACTTATAACTAACTTGAATTATGATAATTGTTTTAAAAAAAAATAGTATATTTAGAATAAAATTTGAATTTATGATGGAATTAATTAAAAAATAATCATATTAGTTTTTTTTCTTGTTTTCGATAATTTGTCCTATGATGTTTATAAGGCTTAAATATGTTTTTAATCCCTCAAATTTAAGATAAATTTGTTTTTGGTCCCTCAAATTTAAAACTGTTGTTTTTAGTCCCTATAATTTTCAAAAATATTGTTTTAGTCCCTTAGGTCACCAATAACATATTTGAAAGTGACTAATTAAGACAGCTATGCAATATCATCCAGATTTAATGTGATATTTTCACTAATAGGGATACCAATAGGTAGATTTTATGCAATAATGTTTGATAAATTTTTTAACAAAATTTGAATATAAGGACTAAATTAAGATTTTTTGAAATTACAAGGACTAAAAATAACAATTTTAAATTTGAGAGATCAAAAATAAATTTATCCTAAATTTGAGGGACTAAAAATATATTTAAACCTGTTTATAATTAGGATTGGAAATAGATGTAATATTATGTTTCTAAATGTTTACTGTTAGATTTTTAGTTGATGGCATATATATCGATTCAAGTTTAATTTTAAAAGCCAATTAGAAATCACTATAGTTTATTCTATAAAAAGTAAGAATTTTGGGTTCATGAATGAATCTCGATGTAAAAAAAGTTGTGGTACGTTCCCATTAAATTCTCTTCTTTTACTTTATACGTGTATGATTAAAATTTGTCCAAAATTGAAATGCAGGGAGAAGGCGATGTAGTAGAATATAAGCCTGAAATGGTGGTGGTTGGAGAGGTTTCCTTGAGCGTTACTATGACGGAATTGATGGTGGGGGAAGAGATGAAGAATGTTCAAAGAACACTTCCAATCCAATTGAAGGTGCATGGTTTGTTCATGGAAGCTACACTTTCGGTATGATCCCATGTTCCAATTTCTATTCAACACATTTTCAATTAACTTAATTAATTGTACTACTTCTATGTTCATATGTTAATTTCTTAGTTGTTTACTTGTTGATTTCCTTTAATTATATGTGTCTTTGGATAATTAATTGATTATTATTACATTTGATCAGGTTTCATTGAGTTTATTGAAACTGGGGAATTATCACGATGACTTGCCGAGAACATTTGTAGACAAAGTGATAAGTCTTGTGGAGGTTGATCAAGTTGAGGAACCGAGTTCTTATGAATCAGACGAGTTAGCCGAATTTGACTCGGATGACTCATCTGATGAGTCCACCACAACCACAAGTAGTGACAGTAGCAGCAATAGCATTGTAATACACAATGCAGAGTCAAGAGTTACAAATGGGTCAGAGAGGTTTATGGACTCAGAGACAGAGACCCTTTTGGACACAATGCAGAGGAGTTGGTCCATGTTGCCATGGAGTAGAAGCTTCAAGGGATGGAGTTTTAAAAGAACCACCTCAAGGAAACAAGAGCCTTTGAACTCACATTTAAGTCATTGCATGGTATGTGACAATAACATTAACATCATTCAATTTTCCATTTTAGTTTACTTTTCATAAATTGTGACTCTCAAATTCATCATTTGGATGACTCTTGAAGAAATTATTATAAAAATTAACAAACTAATCATATACAGTAACTTATGATAGAATGGTAGTATAAACACTTTACAAGCTTAGTACATTTTAATTAAACTGTTTCTTTTTTACTGAAATTTATCCATGTACTTATCAGTCTCTATGGATGGTCTCATTTGTTAACATTTTTCAATGAGCCTAAGAAATGGTTACTTTTGTTTACATACGAATTATTTATTAGTATTGTTAACTTCTTGCAGGAACCACACTTTGATCACAAAAACTGTAGTTCAAATGGCTGGGAAAATAGGGAACTTTGGAGTAGAGATGCCCAAACAAGGGTCAAAACCAAAGTGTTTTTTGCTTCCTTTGATCAAAGGAGCAAAGAAGCTTGTGGTGAGAGTGCATGTACATCACTAGTTGTGTTCATAGCTCACTGGCTTCATTCCAACCATAACATGCCATCAAAGGAACAATTTGATAACCTTATCAAAAGGGGTTCCTCTGAATGGAAAAGGCTAAGCCACATTGATCACTACCTAAAGCTCTTCCCAGATAAGCATTTTGATCTAGACACAATCTTGGAAGCCAACATTAGGCCTCTAGTTGTTCTCCCTCGAAATTCCTACACAGGATTTTTCTCCCCTGAGAAATTTCAGTGCTTGGAAGGAGCCATGTCCTTTGATGACATTTGGGATGAGATAACAAGAGATGATGTGGTTGATCATGAGCCAAGAGTTTACATAGTGAGTTGGAATGATCATTTCTTTGTCTTAAAGGTGGAAGTTGATGCTTGCTATATTATTGACACTCTAGGGGAGAGGATTTTTGAGGGGTGCCAAAAGGCATTCATAATGAAGTTTGATGATTCAAGTTTGATGCATGAAAAGGGTGGCAGTAGTAAGGAAGAAAGTGTTGAGATAGTTTGCAATGGAAGAGAGTGTTGTAAAGAGTTCATCAAACGCTTTCTTGCTGCCATACCACTTAGGCAACTAGAAGAGGAGCAAAATAAAGGGACTGATTATAATCTTTATTTTCACAAGAAACTGCAGATTGACTTCCATTATAGCTTGTTATCATCCATGCCTTCAGCTTCTTCTTCTATTGGTGAACCTTTAAAATCCCATTTTATATAGATAGGCATTATATAACTAAGAAGACATTATTAGTCTCGTAACAAATTATTAGATAGTTCTGGGCTATCAAGTGTCTATGATCTCAACTAATCTCTACATGACATGTATTTAAGTTTCTTAACTTAAGAAAAAAAGTAATTACACTAAATTATATGTTATGTAGAGACTAGATAGAGATAATGTAATTCAAAACTGCGAAAATTTTGGCTACCAACCATAGTCCATAGAAAATTTTGTTGGGTATTGGGCTCCCTTCCTATGTGGAGAAAAGACCCAAAATTGAGAAGCTCATTTAATGTCTCACTTAACTAAGTGGAGAGAGGGTCTGAAGCACAAGAGTCAGAAAGAGGGAAAGTCAAAAGTTACTTTGAACACCAACACTTTGAGAGAGAGGAAGAGAGAAAGTCATTCTCGTTTTTACACAAGGTTGCGACAGTAAAATTGATACTGAAGGTTCGTTCACCGTTGGATCGGGCTGAAAATTTGACAGCAGGTTCATAACATTCGGTTCTTCATTCTGACCAGTTGAATCGTTGAAACGAGGTCTAAGTAGGGAGATATTCAGTTTGCACTGTAGCTGTGTATTTGGGGTTTTTCATCTTCTTTGTCCTCTATTTGTAAGCTTTATTGCTTTGTTGCTTGGCTGGGTGTTAGCACTATTTTGTACAGTTGATTGAGACTCCTTTGTACTTTTTATTGATCATAGTGGAGCTATTTCTTTGGTTTGGATGACTCGTGATTTTTGCCCTTGCTTTGAGGGGTTTTTCACATTAAAAATCTTGGTGTCTTTGTGTGTGATTTTGGTGATTTATTATTGTTGTTCATTGGTTGTTGCTCCTCACAGATTCTTGCAAGTTAGGGAAATTTATTTTCGCTACGGTAACTGTTTGAGTTTGCTCTGTGTTGTTATTGTGTTGCTATTTCCCCATCAGAGTGGCATCAGAGCTCTTGTTAGCTTTGGTTTGGGGCTATTTGACTTGCTTGAATGATGGAGGCAAATACTAAAATGATTGCTTTGAATGGCACTAATTATCACTTGTAGAAGGGAAAGATGAAAGACTTGCTATTTGTGAAGAAAATGCATCTTCCTGTCTTTACTACTCAAAAGCCGGATTCTATGTCTAAAGAAGATTGGGACTTTGAACACCAACAGGTGTGTGGTTTTATTCAAAAATTTGTAGAAGACAATGTTTATAATCACATTGCTAATGAGACACATGCTAGAACTTTATGGGAGAAGATTAAGTCCTTGTGTGCTTCTAAATCAGGAAATAATAAATTGTATTTGTTGAATTGTCTGATAAATTTGAGGTACAGAGAGAGTTCTTCCATTTTAGATCACTTGAATAAATTTCAAGGGCTCTTAGATCAGTTATCCAGAATGGGTATCAAATTCGATGATGAAATTTTGGGACTATGGCTACTGAATACTTTACCTGAGTCTTGGGAGACATTTCGGGTTTCCATTACCAACTCGGCCCCTAATGATGTTGTTTCTTTACAAGCAACAAAGAGTGGTGCTCTTAATGAAGAGATGAGAAGGAAGGCACAGGGTTCTTCATCTCAGTCTGAGGTGCTTGTCACTAAAAATAGGGGGAGAAGTCAGAAAAAAGAACCGAAGGGTTGTAGAGAAAAGAGTAGGAGTAAGTTCAGGTCCAGATACAAGAATGTGGAGTATCATTATTGTCACAAAATAGGGCATATATAGAGGAATTATTTTCTGTGGAAAAAAGAGAATTAAGGCAAGAAGGGTAAGTAGAAAGAAAAGGATCATGATGATGATGATCATGTGTCTACTGCTACTTGTGGTGATCTTGTTATTCTCAGTGACCATGGGTAGTTAATCTTGTATTAGATGAGAGCATGTGGATTGTGGATAGTGGTGCTACACTGCATGTTACACCAAGGAAAGAATTCTTCACATCTTACTCTTCTGGTGATTTTGGAGTGTTGAAAATGGGTAATGATGGTGTGTCTAAAGTGATTGGTGTTGGTGATGTTTGCCTGCAAACCAACATGAAAATGCAATTGTTGCTTAGAGGAGTCAAACATGCTCCTGATGTTACTTTTAATTTGATCTCTATGCAGATGCTTGATGGTGGTGGTTATGATAACCACTTTGGTTCTAGAAAGTGCAAACTCACCAAAGGTAACTTGGTTGTGGCTAGAGGGAAGAAATCATCTAAATTGTATTGGACAAAAGCTTTGGTTGCTAAAGACAATGTGAATGCCATGGACATGGAGACATCTTTGTGGCACCGAAGGCTTAGTCATATTAGTGAAAAAAGAGTGAATTGCTTAGCTAAAAAGGATGTTCTTCAAGGGTTAAAGAGTGTAGAATTGGAGAAATGTTCTCATTGCATGGATGGCAAGCAAACTAGAGTATCCTTCAAGAAGCATCCTCCCTCAAGGAAGTCAGAGTTGTTGCAATTGGTACATTTTGATGTTTGTGGTCCATTGAAGGTGAAATCCTTTAGTGGTGCAATTGCTTTTCATCAATTTCTCTTGATGGAAGAGAAATGGAGAAGTGGAAGATGTAGCTTCTCCTTAGCTTTCCTTATGCACGGATCTTCAATCAAGGAGATAGGACCGAAAACTTGAACACCTTTAGAAGAGGAATTCGTGAGGATTAGAAGCTCTAATCCATGGACGGAAGCATCCAAGCACAAGTCTCAAGGGATTGCACACTTCAAAGAGAAGGAAGCTAGGTTTCCTAAGGGGATTGAAGGCACTCTCTTAAGGTTTTCTCTCTTGGATGGTTTCGGTGACTCTTGAGGGAATTTGGCTGAATACAAGTTCAGAAAATTCATATATTCAAAAGTGTTTACAAAAGGTGGGAAAAGATACACTTATAGGAAGCAATTAGGTTAACTTTGGGCGGCAATTTCAAATCAACCAAATTGGCGCCTAGTTTGAATTTCAAGTTTGAATTTGAAATTCAAACTTTGGCTTCCAACGTGACTAATTCAGATGCTACCCTCATTTAGGAGTCATTTAGAAGTGATTTGAGGTGAATTTGGAGCTCACATGGCCGGATCCATCCCATGCAAACCATGTGACTCAAATTCAACTCAAATTACTTCTAAATGATGTCTAAATGAAACCTAATTCTCCTATTAATGTTTTCTTCATATAATCCTATTCTAATGACCGAAATACATTGGTCTAATGAATACAATGAATAGAAAAAAATATAAGAAGAAGAATGAGCCCAATATTGGGTATCAAAAGCCCAAAGCCCAAGAAGCCCAAAATTAAGCCCAAAACACCTAAACCCTAATCTATGGTCAAAATACAAGACCAACATGAAAATAGATTCCTATACTAAGAAAGTACAATTAGACATGGTGTATAATCAATCAAGCCCAAGTGAGAAGCACCCTAGGCCCACCAAGCCCATTGGGCCCACTAAGCTCTGAAGCAGTCAAATCTTCAAGTAACCTCCTGGCCATAGCTCTAGTGGTTGGGCCTTTAGCCCATGCTCTTCCATCATAAAGACAATGTGAATGTCATGGACATGGAGACATCTTTGTGGCACTGAAGGCTTAGTCATATTAGTGAAAAAAGAGTGAATTGCTTAGCTAAAAAGGATGTTCTTCAAGGGTTAAAGAGTGTAGAATTGGAGAAATGTTCTCATTGCATGGATGGCAAGCAAACCAGAGTATCCTTCAAGAAGCATCCTCCCTCAAGGAAGTCAGAGTTGTTGCAATTGGTACATTTTGATGTTTGTGGTCCATTGAAGGTGAAATCCTTTAGTGGTGCACTTTACTTTGTTACCTTTATTGGTGATTGTTCCAGGAAACTATGGGTCTATGCTTTGCAGAGAAAAGACAAGTTGTTGGAGAGGTTCAAACAATTTCATGCCTTGGTTGAAAGACAGTCAGGCAAGAAGCTGAAATGCATTCGTACTAACAATGGTGGTGAGTATTGTGGACCCTTTAATGTTTATTGCAAGCAACATGGTATTGCACATGAGAAGACTCCTCCTAAAACTCCTCAGTTGAATGGTTTAGTAAAGAGGATGAATAGGACATTGCTTGAGAGGGTGAAATGTATGCTCTCAGATGCTAAATTACCCAAGCATTTCTAGGGTGAGGCACTATACATGACGGTGCATGTTATTAATCTCACTCCTACTATTATTCTTAACAGTGAGGTGCTAGATAAAATTTGGTTTGGCAAGAATGCAAGCTATGATCATTTGTGTGTCTTTAGTTGCAAGGAATTTATTCATATTATAAGGAATGAAGATCCAAGTTGGATGCGAAGACAAGGTAGTGCATCTTCATTGGTCATGGAAGACCAAACCATTGAAGACATTGATAAGGTGGAAAAGACTACACACGAAAAAGATAGAAATCTGACTGATGTTGATCCTATGCGATTACCTATTCACAATCTAGATAATGTTGATGGTAGTGTTCAACTTGGTGAACAACATGATAATGTTGATAATCAACAACTTGGAGATGGAGTAGATGTTCCTATTGATGATGACCAGGAGGAGCATGAAATGTCTCATGATGAGAATATTGATGATGCACCTGAACCACATCAAGTTCAACTCAAGAGGTCTAATAGATAGAGACAACCTTCAACAAGGTATTCTTCTGATGAATATGTGACCTTGACTGATGGTGGAGAACCTGAATGTTTTGAAGAGGCTTTGGAAAGTGAAGAAAAGCAACAGTGGTTGGATGCAATGCAAGATGAGATGAAATCCTTGCATGATAATCACACTTATGACTTGGTAAAATTGCCTAAGGGCAAGAGGGCCTTAGAAAACATGTGGATTTTCAGGGTGAAGCAAGAAAGTAATTCTACATCTCCAAGGTACAAAGGTAGATTAGTGGTGAAAGGCTTCAAGCAGAGAAAGGGTGTTGATTTCAATGAGATTTTCTTACCTGTGGTGAAGATGTCATCCATTAGAGCAGGTTTGAGTTTGGCAGCTACTCTTGATTTAAAGGTAGAGTAAATGGATGTGAAAATTGCTTTCCTTCATGGTGATTTAGAGGAAGAGATTTATATGAAATAACCTGATGGCTTTCAAGTTAAAGGTAAGGAAGACTGTGTATGTAGGCTGAGAAAGAGTTTATATGGTTTGAAGTAGGCTCCAAGACAGTGGTATAAGAAGTTTGAGTCTCTTATGTGTGAGTAAGGCTTCAAGAAGACTACTTCATGAGGAAAACAGGTAATGAATTATGTTGCACATCCAACGCAAGCAATTCCTGGGAAAGCTCCAAATTCGACTACAGGACCCGGTAGAGTCTCGATTGGAGGCTATGGGCGTGGCTTTCGACAGCCTTTCAACAATCTAACCAAAACCCAGTGGAGGAGACAGCAAAGGATGCGCAAGGCTACCTTCGAAGGCGTCAGGGGAAACCGTTTCTCAGTTCCTGTACCTCAGAAAGGGGAATCATCTCGAAAGTTCCTTGAGGATGATGAAGACATGATAACCGATTGTTTCGAGAGTGGTTTTGAGGACTCCCTAGAAGACATTTGTGGGATAGTTTCCATTCTGCCTTCTGAGTATGCTGGGGCCATGGAGGCCGTGAATGAACAAGAGGATATTCATCGAGAAGACTTCTTTGATGACCCCAACTATGAATCCAAAATCATATAGGTCAATCAAATCTCGAGGGTTATCCCCAAATTCAATTCTGCTGTGTTCGACTCTCCCATAGAGGAAATGAAAGGACACCTTAAGCCCTTATTGTTGACATTGATGA